TTACTAAACTATAGACTCAAACTATATACTCAAACTATAGACGAAAATTTACATCTCCTTAAACAGCGTGTACACAATGCGCAGTTTTTAAACCTTGAATTCGAGTGTAGCAGTCACTAGTTTAGAAAATTATTCGGCAATTGAGTAACTATTTTAAAACCGAAAGCTACCCTTTGTTTGAGTATAAATTTTAAAGAAGGCGTAATTTGCTATCAAATAAGTACAAGAAATAATTTTTTCCAGCATGTTTTCCATAAAATATATTTGAATTTATTAAGGAATTCAAAATCAATGATAAAAGGGCATACTACTTAAGTAGCCAGGTTTTACAATAAATACTGCTAGTGACCAGAACAAAGCTCGTTAAGAAGCCCTTATCCTATCTTGACTGAAATGACTTCAAAATAGGCTACAGGACAGTCAGTATCACAACTTGAGTCAATGCCGATTTGCGAAAGAGTATCAGACTTTCGCATATGTCGAAATGTTGCATGATCTTTGGCGTCTACTATAATTCTTCTCATTAACTCATGAGTTAAGATCGCGACTTCAGTGCCCAAAATTAGTCAAAAACATGTGGATTTTGAGTTTAGCATTTGAACTACTCCTTGTCCGATGACAGTGACGCCGTGCATTTCCAGGAATGTTGGTGTCAAGTGGTACGCTTTTAAGGATAGAATTCCAAAACATTGACTGAATCGCCGTGCAATTTAACTGTTATTGTTCACCTTCAGTAGACGTTTTTGGCATATTTGAATATAAGGTCAGCATTCACTTTAAAATTCAGTGGCTATGCCCATTTTCAGGGCGCCCCAACGGAACTCATAAAGAATAAAATGGCCAGTCTGACTGAACCGTCTGGCCTCAGAGAGTCGGGGAACCTTGATTTCAAAACAAAACATTTGTCCGCCTGAGAGTGCCCCCAGCTAGGGGCATGTGATAACAACTGCGTAACCTCTTCTTTACTTTTGCTGGTGTTTCCTCTTCTTACGTCATACGTTTGATCACTGAACGAGCCTAGTAAAATGTTGATGATGAACGAGCGTTGCTACTTTAAACGAAATGTTCTTTTAGTTGACCCAATTGTGAAAAAAAACTCGCGGCATTCGGCGGGATTCGAACCCGCATAGGAG